GTAGATCTCGCCTTAAAAGGGCACTATTACACACAGGTCCACCCTAATCTAACTATTCAGATCTCCAAAGACATTATTTCCAAGAAAGGTCACCTGCCAAGGTTACAGATGGACACGGAGTTTGGAGGAATGTTTATTTCAGTCACCACACTGACCCTGACCAGCAAGAACTTGTTCATAGACTGATCGGACCTGGCCTCATGCAGTCTGTTAGTACATGTGAAGCTGAAGGTGATTATTATAATGGCCAAATTTAAGAGACACATTTGATTACACAGTGCTCAACAAAACAGTCATCAGTACAAACCCAAATCTATTCCTAGGTCTAACCCTGTCTGCATGAAGTCATTCCCCCAGAGGAGTTCTTAATCGTGAAAGGAAGAAGAAAAAGACTAACAGAATAATTTCATTCCGATTTATGTCCCAAGCCTTTCTAATATTTTGTCACATTTGTTTTGGACAATATTTTAAAATGGTTTTTTATTTAAAAACAAAGTTTGGCCACAGCAGAACTGGAACAGAAGATGGAATTATAAAATAGGAAGAAATGGGCATGAACAAATGTGACTGGATTTGGGATGAGGAAGGTAGACATGGTGAGGCAGTGAGAGAGTTAAGTTTTACCCAGCCCCGCATCTTGATGACTCATGATTCTAAGGCCCTCTATCCCATCCCATGATCCGGCTACTGCCGTTTGTTATGAACTCATCCCTTCAACAAACTTTGAAAGCTCTACCTGCCCCCATTTCTATCTTATTTTATCAGTGATAAATAGGTATTTCAGGAGCAAATAGATGGATCTGCCTGAGAAAAATTCCATTTCCTACCCAAAATGAATTTGAAATGGAAAAGGATGAAGGGTATTGAGTCTTCATTTTACATATCATCTGTGCTTAACTTTTGGCTGTGTCCACAGGAGACGATTCTTTCCTCTTAAGGAAGGCAGAGGCCAGGGGCTCTTCTCTGTGAGTCAGGATGGAGAGAGAGGTGGCCACCGTGGAGGCGCTGCAGCATCTACTGCTGAGGGACACACTAGAGCCTAGACTGTTGACGAAGACCGTGAGTTGCCTGAGGAAATATGGCTCTGGACATTCAGATTTTGGCTTCATAAAATTAAACTTATTTTACTTGAATTTTTCTCTGCTGAGCTTTTGGACAGTGAGGAGCAGTGTGGCTTACATTATTAAACTTGCACTCATCTCTGAAACATAGAATGGTGAAAAAAATAGTAATTGCTTAAATTCTTGGCCTTGCTTCTTTCCCTGGAGTAACAGAAACACGTCTGAATTACACTACTAAGAACAAAGTCAAGAATAATGATGGCTAAGAGTGGTCTGATATATTTACTTTTACCTGTCATTTGCTATACTCGGTTAGAAAATCCTGTGACAGGAAAATAGTTTTATTTTCCTTTCTATTTCATTTTATTTATGTATTCCTAAACTGCAATTTCAGAAACAAGCCTAAAAATATCAACTCATCTTAAACTTATCAGTCACAGAATAGAGGAATCTGACATGTGTGACTAGGATATTTCTAATACACACACATACACACACACACACACACACACACACACACACACACACACACACACACCTATTTTTTCAAGAGCATCCATGGTTCTAAATGAGGTTTTAAGATGGGACTTGTTGGGGCAACTGTCCAAGGCTCTACAAAAATATATGATTTTGAGTTTTGGTGGCTCAGAGAGCAATGTCAGATGATGCTTTCTTCTTGTTATCTCGTGAGGGCCTCAAGGCAGGTCTATCACCATGGGAGGAGAGGGTGGAAGGAACCAGGAGCAGGATGGGATTCCAGTTACTCTTTTTGAGGCTCTGTCTCAGGGATCCAGCCAGGAGCTATAGCTGTTTCTTCTGAAGACAACACCCCAAGAACCAGCCACATCCCATCTCCAAAGGTGCCCCCACCTTTCTAAATCTCCAGAGTGTGGACCAAGCTTCCTGCACATGACCGTAGGGACACAGCTCACATGCAACCACAGCAAGACCTCAGGACTGAGGATGGGAAGTCAGGAAGGGCAGAGAAGAAACAACTGACTATTGGCTAGGTAAGTACCACTTAGTAAATGCTAACAAAGAACTTAAGGTGGAGCATGATAGTATATGCTAAATTCCCAACACTCAGGAGGCAGAGGCAGGATCACCACAAGCAGGTACTAGGCTGGCTTGGATGACAGAGGAAGATCCTGCCTCAAAAACATCAAAAGAAAAATGAAAGGAAATTAAATGAACCAACACCTAGGACTCTGTGGCCTATTCATTGGTAGGCTGGTTGTTACATGCTATTTCAGGAGGGCTGTTTACATCTTACCATAGGACCCTACACATCCTCTTGATATGGTCAAATGGAAATGGTCTGCAGAAGACTCGGGGTGTGGGTCAAAGGTCAGGAGTGGCCCTATAACCTAACTAAACATAACTTACAAAAAGTAGGAGAATAAATTGTGCACAGGGTCAGGGATACAGCTTAGTGGTTGACCTCCGGTCTAGCATGTAGAAGGCCTGGGTTTGACCCATTGCTGACAAAGAAAGCAAGACTCAGTTTGGTATTTACAGAGACCTGGATCCAGCACTCTCATTGGATTCCAAAAATCTATATACGTTCAAATCCTGATACAAAATAATACAGAATTTTCCTCCGGTACTATCACTGAATTCATATGACAGTGCAGTACTGTGTTAGGGTCAATTGGGTTCATGTCACTCCCTTCTGCTGGGTTAAGAGTTACTGCATGTCAGGAGCTGGGGTGGGGATCTCTGTGTCCCAGGTCACTCCCTGGCACACTGCTGTCACTTAGCAAAGGCTCATGGGATCAAAGTGCTAAAAGGCAGAAGCATCACAGGAAGTGATTTCTTTAATGGGAATAAAGATCCAGGAGCTGCTGAGAAGAACAAGAGTGTTAATTACTCACACAGGAAACCCTGAAACTTCTGTGACGTCACAGACATGGGCAACTATTTGGGTGTGTTGTCCTTATTCTCCAGGAACCGTGGATGCATGAACATGGAAACTCCTTGAAACCTTTTGTTCATGGAGTCTTCGATGAATTTATTTTACCACTTTGGATGACCACTATATTCCTCCCCCAGTCCAAAGACTATCCGTGTGGCATGATATGCCATCCCATTAGAATGAGAATGGCACTAACTTACTGCTTCCTGTAGGTCAGAAGTTTAGTTAAAAATAAAGTTTGTTACATGCAAATAGGTTTTGCCTTATAGCTCATGTAACACACTCAGAAATGTGGGAAATCACCGACTCTGGTTATATCCTGACTTGGCTACAACATACTTTTCCTAAACCTAACAACCATCCAGAAGCAGAAGCAGTAGGGATGGAGCCTCTCTGTGCATGGAGAAGTATGGGGTGTCACCCTGATCTGACCTCACCTTATTCAGAGTCATATCCCAGACCTTAAACGCAGCCGGAGGCCTCATGAAAAGGTCTCATGACATGTAGTGGCCCAACTTCTCCATCGTCTTTATCATCAAAGGTGCCGAGTACACCTAGATTGGCTATGCCCTCATCTTTGAATCAAATGTCATGAAGAAGCAATGATGCAGCTGTTATTTAGAATTTCATCTGCAGAGCTGAACACGTCTCCACTGGTTACTCTGCAATGGAATCTGTGGCTCCTCCTTCCACAGGCTTTTTTTTATTAATGACCATGGGCCTTGCAAATAGAAGAAGGCAAAAAGAGGAAGATCACTTTCATAGATGCAGGTAACTGAGATAGATAACCAGGCGCAGAAGGTTGGGAGTACCTCCAGTGTTGGTACCGGAAGAGTTACAGCTCTTCAGGCAGAGCGGGGCCTCCGAAGGATAATAGAATCGAAGAAGTCATAAAAGGATGCTACAACAGGGAGTTTTGGAGAAGTGTAAATCTGGCTTATGGTAGAGACTATCCAGAGAAATCATGCCGAAGGTTCATATGTCATGTGGTGGGGGCAAAGTGTTCAGGGGATTCCTGTTCTGTTTGTAAGCATGTGAAGATATTCACAGGAGCTGGCTATGAGCCTTACTCTACACACAATAACACAAGTAAAGATGCCCTCTAATGCCAGGGCTGAGGTACGGATATTTGTAAGATGGTTATCATTAATCCTCATTGACATGCTTTTGTTCCTTCTTAGCAGAGACCTGTCTACTTCTAGAGACTGACCAACTGTTGGAGAACCTGCAGGTCAGTGACAGCCCAGCTGAAGCCACTCTGGACATTTTAGCTTTGAAATAGAGATCATTTGATTAGGCATGTTCAACAAACCCTTTTGCTCCTATCCCATAATTAACCCACCTAGTAGAAATGTCCAACTTTAATATAAACCTTCCCTAGGAGCACAGGTTGACTTTAGAAGAACGTCTATCCTGTTTAGTACCTCCTTTCCTAGAAGTCAATCAAGGCGTATAGACGACTCTAAGAAGACTACATAGATTTCTTTGTGGCGCTATGTGGCGATTTGTTTTTTAATGTACTAGAAAAATTATAGGTACTTATGATTTTTTTTATCATTTGAAAAACATTAAGTAAAGCAGGCCTTGTTAAGGAAATATTTCTAAGGAATTATGGAGTGTTGTAATCATACAAAAGAATTAAGGGGAAAAAACTGAGAATAAAAGTAGTTCCTGGTGGCATTTAATTACGTCCCTATGCATGTGTCACAGAATCTCCCCAAGTAATTGCTTGGTTATTTTACATGTAAAATGTCACGTTTATTTATTATTGTTTTCAGTGAAGACCTGGTTTTGGTTGAGATGCAACTCTGTTTTGCTCTAGGTGTAAGACAGCAAGTTAACTTGGCTGAACACTGTGTGGGTCTAGAGTTGTGGAAAGCGCCTCTTGAATCACTCTCCTTTAGCATTCTATTTGCCATGCCAACATCTGTCTTGGAAGACAGTCTGGTCCTCAGGAAATAGCCATCAGGGTTACAGGAAGAAGTTCCTGCACCAGGAGCTCTACAGGAGGGGAAGGGACTGACCTTAGGCACCCAGTGGCATTGCGCAGCACCTGTGATGAATGCAGCTGTATTTTCCGATCGTCCTGAAGAGGTGAATTTTCCCAGCCCGAGTGAGGGATAATCACTGCGTTGGTCAACACTGCCAGGGCATCCTGGATGATTGGCATTTTGAGTGCATCACATGATGAGAGGTTCCAAAGGACTCCTGTAAGACACATATAAAGAGAGCCACTGAGTGGTACCACTCTTTCTCATCTCAACCAGTTTTCCTTACTGGAGATAACAGCATTGGCAGGAAGGAGTAAATAGTATGGGCTGGGCCAGCAAGATGGCTTAGTAGGTAAGGATGCTTGCTGTCAAGGTTGATGACCTGACTTCAATGACTAGAACCCAGACTCTTGCATGTTGTTCTATGATATCCTCATGTATGCTATGGCATGTACACACACACACACACACACACACACACACACACACACACACACACTGCATAAATATAAAACACAGAAGGGGGGGTAAGCACATGAGTTTTAGAGCCTGTCCTCAACAGTTAACAAAGAGGTCACGAATTTGAAAGAGAACAGGGTCAGTAGAGAGATGGAAGGGTTTGAAGGGAGGAAAGAGAAAAGGAGAAATGATTATATTATGATCTTAAAAAAATAAAAAAAAAATTTAAAAAGAGAGCAACAGAGAGTTGGAGATTGAGAATAACAGTAATTAAGAAAGACAAGAACAAAGGCAAAAATGTTGACCACACAGAATGTTTTGGGTTTTAAAATAGGAATTACCTAAAACAAAACTAATTCTAGATGAGGTCACAGCCTCTATGCTATGTCACCATTTAAAAATGCTTTTAAAATAATTGTCCTATTTTATTTTTGTTCTGTATAATAGACATAAAAGAAAAGGAAACCTCTGTGCTTAAGCTGGAGAAACTACCACTGGGATGCAGAGACAAGACTGACTTGCTCTTCATAAAGCAACTTCCAAATTACTTGTTAAAGGGGCTTGGCCTTTTAACCAGATGAAATATCATCTCATCTATTGTGTTAGATGAGAACAACATTGTTCTTGACAGTTTTTTATTAATTCTTGCATTCCACATGCTCTACCAAATATAGCCATTGATAACACAAATCTGATTGTTAATTACAGGTGCGGCTATACAGTTGTATAAAAAGTACTTTAGAGATAAACTTTCAACTATCTTCAGAAGTAGCATTTACTGAGAATTTTATTTACACGAAGGCATTTGTCTGGCATATATAAATCAGCCCTTTAGTGCAGGGTATCGCTTGAGGACAGGTCTGGTTTGCCTGTTTCTACAAACACAGATGTATTTAAACCAGCCATTTCTGCCCATTGACACAATTATCTCTGCTTCCATCCACAAAAAACTTGTCATCCTGTCTTTTCGAGAAAAGTGTTTACCCAACCTCCTTTTAAGGTATCAATGATTTTCCATATGCTTTGTGTATGACTTTTATTCTCATTATTCTCCTACAATTGAGTATACAAAACATTCAATGGTAAATAATAAGTGCAGAAAATATGTTTTGAGTGGGACTGATTTGTGATACTAGAAATATTAACATATTATGTCATTTTGAAAAATAAGATAAAGTTGTTCATTCATTCATGATGAAATCTTTTATAAAATTCTGATCACTGAAATAATCAAAATGTGTACCAGCATTCATTTGTAGTGTCACAATGTTATTTTATAGCAAAACAATAGATGTTTCAGTTTTAAAAAGAACATTAAAAATAAATTATATTTAATCTCAGTATTTGAGGATACCTTTTCAGAAAAAGCCATGTTAAAGCACTGGTGTGCACTGTATGTAAACAATGGAGACAGATGATAATAAGCATTTTCATTACCAGCTCCTGATTGAAAATACTAACACATACAAATTGAAGTCTGAAAGTGAGAGTTTTAAAATGTGGGTGACGTTTCACAGCCAAACATAACTAAATAGTAAAACATACACTTTTTTTTTTACATGTAAGGAATGTATAGGAGTCCAAAGCCATTATGTGATAACAGTAACTAATTTTTGCTATTTTTAAAGACTAAAAGAGAGTTAGGAGGAAGAAGTAAAAGTCCAAGGAAAGTGTAAGGACTAATCTAATATTTTACAAGATGAGAGAAGATGTCTTCATTGGACTACTCTGTCTCCTTCACCTTTCTTGCCAATTTATTAGTTGATTTAAACTAGTTCAGACTTGAGCACGGGGCGATCCCTCGGTTCACATTCAGTCTACCTTTCTACATTGATGCTGTTGTGTGCTACAGTCCAGTGAAATTAGCAAAGTCCTTGGTCTGCATCTCCAAGTCTTCCACATAGCTTCACGAGTATCTGAGACCTACAGTCCACCTCCTGAAAGGCGGACCATGACTCACTCAGTCAAGGACAACCTTGGTGTGAGGTGAAGGGTGGGGAAAGTGGGTGCAATGGCACAACTCTTCTGGGAGAAACCCAGACAACTACTTGAGGGGTGCCCTCAACATTTGAGTTTGGGTCCATTATCTGAATACAGATAGAAGTGTGGATGTTGAATCAGCGCTTTCTGGAGACAGTTGGCACAATAGTTGATAAATTGAGAGACGTCAAAATTAGACAAGAGTTGGGTCCACAGCTGTCCTGACAAAAACACATGGGGTGGGGGAGAATACACTGGAGGGGAAGAGATTTGAGATTCATGTAGATGATTAAGTGTCCTCCTCTCTCAGTAAATGAGAACTGGATTTTGCTCAAATTCTCCAGTCCTTCCTTTCCTCCTTTCTTCTATGGTGGTTTAGGACATGACCACAGATTGTTTCATAGTCCCTACAAAGTAGGGGCAGCCAAAGCCTGAGCACAGGAGAGAAAGCTGGACTCGATGACTTCTTGTGGCCAACAGAGCAGCATGGCGGTCTGTGAGAGCCCACACCAGACTGTAGTGCACAGCACTGTGGCTTTTTTTTCGCTCCATATTTCCCTCTGGGGCTGTTTGCTGGCAGTGCAGCGTGCTGTCATGCCACAGGACCCACAGGCAGCCCACAGACAGGCCGCTGTGGTGAAGAGGGAAGCCTGCATCAAACAAATCCCATGACCGCACCACTCTGCAAGCAGGTCCTGCAGGTCCACCCAAGTCTACGGAGACTTGAATCTTGCAGAGCCAGGGTTACACAATGGGGGCTGCTCCTGGATCCCTGACCCTTAGACATTGCGTGAGATACGTGCTTGCTGTTTCTAGCTCTTAAACTCTGGGGTTTTGTCTGGTATAGCTCCTTCCCTTCACACCCTGCTGTCTCTCTCCATCCCTTTCACGTCTGTCCCCTTTGTCCAATGGGCTTGCCTCACGTTGGATTTCTATTCTTCCCTCAAGTTGCTCCTCAGTGTACCAAGATGCATCTGTCCTCGTATTCCTTCCCAGCCATGAGACGACAGGAGGCACGTGTTCAAGTGTTGGAAGGATGCAGGACACACACTCGGCATTCAGCGTCTGTAGCACACAGAATGTGCTCTAGCACCCAGGAGGCGCTGGCCAGGTAGTTACCGCAAAATAGCAGAGTGAGTAACTGCAGGATACGACCCTGCAGGATGCCGGGGGCATTGAGCATCAAGCCTTTCTAAAGCATCACAGTGCTAGCAAGATGATGTAAGGAACTGAAAGAATAAAATAGCAGATGCAAGACAAATAATAAATCCAGGTGCGAATATAAAAATGCTATTTAAATGGCATTATATGCCCCGAATCTACAGACATTCTACTTGTAGCTGGCAGAGAAATATTTATACCTCTGAAAAGCAGTAATCAGTTTAGCGCTAGGAGTTTCATCTCTTGCAGTTGATTTGGGCAGTTTCATTATATTAACTTACCAATAATTTTAAATTACCCAGGGTGATACCAACTTGTAACACACAGAAAAATTGTAGCAGAAACTGAATTCACAAAGCACCCATTAGACGTTAAATAAAAAAAAAAAAATGTTGTAATCGGTAACTGGGGAATTTTAATTTACATGATGAAGGTAGGATAATTTATTTCTGATAGTAATCTGTAATAAAATTGTTTTTGTGGAATGTTCCATTAATTACATCATCCAGTAGCATCCTTTTATCAGTATAAAGTTATTACTGTTCCAAATATAATCGACAGTTGGTTCAGTTGAGAAGAAATTTAAATAACTAATGATGTATACTAAATATATTTAAGTGATACTTTATTTTTATTTCAGGCAAAAGATGGCTCTTTTTCTTGAGATTATCATATTCATGAGCAGTAATTGGTTGATTAAAATTTCTTTAATAAGGTCTTAATTACTTTCATTTGATCCTTTATTTTGTTTTAATAGGGGGTAATTGTGGTTTTTTTTAACCTGAAAGAGATAACTATCTCTGTGTAAAAAATGAACAAAACCCACACTTTAATAACAGCAAGTCTCAAACATGGCCTCCTGGCTGAACAAGGCCTTATTCCATCCTCCACTTGCTTTAAGCTGTTTTGATTTTTACTATAAAACTTAAGGAAGAATTCTAACAAAAGATAGGGCCCTAAAACATGCCCAGAAGTCTAGGCTTAATTTCTTTTAAATGTTTTAAAACTATTTATTTAAAATTAATCAGTTTATGAAAAATTAATGTATGCATTTATGAGGATTTAGTTCAAGGAACACTTTCATTTAGTTAATTTTGAGAGTGACAGTTTGTGTACCTGAGGAAGGCAGTGGAAAAGATAAATGAGATCTAAACCTTTTTTTATTAAATTAAAAAAAATAGGCCTATAAGCCAGTTATGGTGGTGCACAACTTTAATCCCAACACTCAGGGGGAAGAGGTAGGGAAATTTCCATAAGCTCTAGGCTAGCCTGGTCTACATAGTCTACATCTCAGACAAGGCTATATGGTGATGCCTCGTCTCAAATACAACCACAAAAAATTGTATCTTTCTTGTATGTGTTTGGGTGTTTTGGCTGCATGTACGTCTGTGCACTATAGTCACACAGTCCCCACAGAGGCCAAGAGATGGAGTCAGATCCTTTGAACCTGGAGTTAACAGTAGTTGTGAGCCACTGTGTAGGTGCTGGGACTCAAATTCAGTTCTTTGGAGAGAGCAGCCAGTGCTCTCTACTACTAAGTTACCTCTCTGGCCTCAAAACAGTTTATTTTGTGATAAAATCAGAGTTGGGCTTAGTGAGGTAATTTAGAGTGAGCTA